CAGGTACATAAAAGCAGTGTTTATAGTACCCACTGCCTCACAGCATGAGGAGGATAAATGCTCCTGGCCACCAATGTATTTTTAGTCAAGAATAACTTCAGGATGCAAAAGTTTACTTTGACCCTTGCTTAAAATGCATGGGATTAAAGTTCCCTGTATTTTAGGATGCATGTCATCATCCCCTTCTCTCATGCTGTAAGAATTACTTGTAATTGCAACCACCACCACCGTCAGGAGGTTCTTTGCAGGAGCAAATAAACACGGCCAGGATGAGCGAGATTGGCAGAGCTGGGTTCCTGCCCTACACAGTAACAGATGTTAATAACCATGAAATTACCCTTCCCATTATAAAAGGAAGCCAAACTGCACGACTCCTGAAGCTGTTTTTCTGTATCTCTAAGTTTTCTGCCATTCCATTAGGGCTGAGTTCTAGTTACTTATGCCATCCTTGTCTCTCAGCAACACAATTATTTTGGAATTTATTTCTTTTATAATAACTTTTTTTTTTTTTTTTTTTTTCTGGTGCCAAAGAAAGAGAGTCAGGGAAGGAGGCAGGTACAGGAAGCTGCATTTCCAATATAGTTGAGAAATTTAGAGAAAGTTTACAAGCAACCCCACAGCTGACAGTTAAAGCGCTTCTTGGGAAATTAAATCACACAGGCAAGCATTGTTAATAGTTGGCCAGTTATTAATCTTCCAAAACCATTCCTCCCATTTTTCATGCAAAGATGGTAACTATTGGTTGATAAAATTATTATCGTGAAATCAACATAGTCTGCTTTGCTCCAGAGACCCTAGTCAGAAAATAGAAGATTTTTCCATATTCCTTGGGCTTCATTAATAACAATTAACTGTACAGAGAAAAAGAATTATCCTTTGCAGGGAATTACCACAGAATTATATAGCTGTGACAGACACCAAAATACCAGGATGGTCACCCTTCTCGGTGACTAACCCCAGACAACTGTCATCATGCAAAACATGAGGGTGCTTTTTCTTTCAGTATCTGTGCAGGGCGGGAGGGGTGCAGAGGATTAAGCGACTCAGCCTAATTCCACGAGATCTTTGTGATCCAACCCCACCAGCCAGGACCCCCCCACCCCCCGTGGAAAGCAGCAGATGGGGAAGGGGGACAAGCTCTGATGCTGGCAGTGTCCTCCGACAGCACACACAACCATCACCCTTCTCCAGAACAACCCTGAGCAGGCAGGGAGGTTTCAGTATGTGCCTCTGTTTCTTCTCATTCCACCCCCCCTCCTGGTCCTTCCCACCCACGGAAATCTCCTGCAGAATCCATCCCTTCCTCCCCAGGTGGGATGCAGCTGGCACCACGCATTTCCAGCGTCCTCGGGTGGAAAGTTCAATACAAAGAAACGCTTCGCGGGGCGCACCTTGCTCCTGACCGCTCTCACGCAACGGGGAAACCCGGCGGTTTTGGACGGGAAAGGTTTTGCCGACTCCAACCGACGCCACAGCACGAACCTGCCAGCCCACCGCTCCCAACCCCGGCTCAGACCCCATCGCTTCCTCCCTCCCCCCTCCTCCCCCCGGGGCACCATATTTTCACGCCACGGGTGATGCGGGAGCTGGTCGGGAGCCCCCTCCGCGGCCACTTCCAGCCCCCGGCCCGGTGCTGCCGCTCCTCCATCTCCCCCATCCCCCTTTTTCCCTCCGCCAGGCAGCACCGCCGCGACCCCGGCTCGCCCGAGCGCTGCCGCCCGCGCTGGGGCCTGCACCGCCCGCCGGGCCCGGCTCTCGGCCCCTTCCCCCGTCCTGGGGGCGCGGAGCCGGGATGGCGGGGGGGGGGGGGGGGGGGGGAGGAAAAAGGGGGATTTGCGCTATTTTTGTTTTTGTTTGTTTGGTTTTTTTTTTTTCCCCGGCGCTTTGCAGTGGCAGCGGGGAGGGTGAATGCTGCAGGTAGCTCTAAGCATTGTGGGATACATCCCCGCACATCCCGGCCCGGCCGGGCCTCCCGCCCCCCCGCCCGGGGGCGGCGGCACCTGCCCCGCCGCTGCCCCCCCCCCCCCCCCCCCCCCCCCGCAGGCCCCGCTGAGCCCGCCCGGGGGGCACCGCGCTCGGCGGCGGACGCAGCCCCACGCGGCCCGAGGGTGGGTGGGTGGGTGGGGGTGAGGCCGCGCAACCCCCGCGCCCACCCCCGCCCCGCTCACCTGGCGCTCCGCGGGGTGCGATGCTCTCCGCGCCGCGGGGATGCTCCGCGCCGCCCGCACAAAGAGCAGGAAATGGCTGCAGCAAGTGCACTTCCGCGGCTCTCCGCCGGCCCCTCCGCACGGCATGCGGGGGGAGCCCCGGTCCCCGCCGCGGGAAGGGGCTGGAGCGGCGCGGGCGGCTCCTCCCCCGGGCAGCGCGGGGGATGCGCGGCGGGGCCGGGGGCCGCATCCCCCCCCCGAGACCCCCCCCCCCCCCCTTCCCCGGGGCCTCCTGCCGCGGCCGCCCCGCCGGGGGAAGGTCGGGGTGGCGGCGGTGCGGGGCTGGCGGGGAGGGGGAAGGTCACCGGCCCCACCCCGGTGCACGGAGGGGCCGGGGCCGGGGGGTGTTTGGGTCCCTGAGAAGGCAGGACGCGGCTGGGATTCCCCATCTCCCCGCGGCTGAGCCTGCAGGGTCTCGAGTATTCACCTTCTCTTCCCCCCCCCTCCCCAGAGGACGTGTACCTTCGTTAGGTTTTACCTGCCATCTTAACGAAAACCCTGTTTACTGAATAGCTGTAAAGGCTTCAATCACTGAGCACGTTAGAGACCAAAGCCAGAAGACACTGTCTTTGCCCAGAGCTCCAAGCCTTTTCTGAATTAGCACCGCATCTGAAAGATCTTCCTTCTGGCATTTTTTGGCATCTGGCATTTCTTCAGGGATAAGTTTCCAGTCGTCTGCTCATGCTTCTTTTTTAAAGCTCCAATACAGCTCTTCAGATCGACTGTGAAATACAAACTGGACCGCTTACAGCCTTCAGAGGAACATCGCCTCATGGTGATTGATAGAAAACTTGTATGGGGCCTTCATTAATTTTTCTGCAGCCCTCTCAGCTTCTGATGCAGCTGTCTGTCTGTCAAAAGACATCAGTGAATACCCAAGGACTGTTGAAAGTCTCGATACAGGTCTAGATACATTTTCTTGGTGGCCCTGGCAGTGGCCCTTTCCAGAGCAACAGCCTACAAAAGCAGGAAGGCAATCTGAGGAACTGTCTTTATTTTAATAGACAGGACCACACCTGAAAAATATCTATTAGTAGCATCTCTGAGAGCGGATTCTTCTCCTGCATAGCATTTCTTCTCTCTCACCTTTGACTGGAACATTTTGCAGCCATCGTTCCTCTTTTTACTATTTATTATTTGTCAGAAAAATTCAGTAAGTGAGCATTGTTTCTGCAGATCCAAAAGATTTAACAGCTAATATTGCTGTGAGGCCATGGGTGAAACAAGGTCAGTTCAAGAAAACTGTGGCAGTAAAAACTGCTGTGGACTATTTTTGCACAGGTTAATCTGCTGCCATTATCAGCCAGGCTCAGGGTGATGGGAATTCCATGACTATTATTATTTTAATTTTATACTCTGTGATGACTTAGATCATAGAATAATAAAATCAGCTTCTCTGCAATTGCCCTGCAAATCACTCTGCAGGCTGGGAAGAGTGGTAGCAAGGGGCAGGCCCCACGCAGCGACAGAGGCAGGAGTGTGTGCATCAGCTGGTTATGTGTGGAGGGGAGAGATAACACGATGGTGGGGTGAGCTGAACAGAAGAATACACACTGATTTGAAGTGGCTGCCAAGTGAGATTTAGCGGAACCATTCACCTGAACCCTGCCATGCTGACAAGCGCAGCGTTCAGAGAGGACAAAGCCAAACATCACATAGAAACATGTTCATTAAAATACGTTTGAGGAAATTCTATATTTTTTCACGCCTGATTTTAAGGTAATTATCCACCAGAACAAATACCAACAACCCCCCCACTTCCCTGGGGTGACCAGCACATGCCCAGGAAAGAGCTTTTCATGGCTAACGTTGCTGCGCTCCAGTCCCTGGTCTCCACTGAGAAGCATCAGCTGCTCTTTCTAGACGAGGTTACTGCTTGACTCCCTCTTCCTTGCTGGGATGCCAGCCTGGCTGTGCCAGCACCTGGCCATCGCAGCAGCAGGTCAGGGACACGCTGGGACAACGCTCGGGGCCTCGGCTCCAGCCAAATGTGCAACCTGGGCAGATCCGCGCACCCACCGCCTCCGGTAACCAGCAGGCAAAGGCAGGGACAAGCACAGCCTCCTGCCACTCTGAAATACGGCCAGAGAGGTTCAAACTGGCAAAGGAGGAATGGTTTAAACGTTCAGCACATTGCAAATACTTTCCAAGGAGACAGGGAAGGGGTATTCAGAGAAGGATTATTCACTCTGCGGCAGGAGACAGCTGATATTCTCACCTCTACATTGTGGGGAACATACCTCGTTAAGCCAAATGAAGGGCACAGGCCTAAATTTGCCATAGAAACTGCTATGGTTGGAGAAGGCTGTGTTACACTGCATTAATATCCATTAATATCATGCAGTTATCACAGTACGACACTGGCCTTTTCAGATTCGTCAAGTCCCCTGTAAATAATCATAGGGAAACACTCTTTGGGAGCATTCTAATGTTACTACTCCCATTATGTGAAGATTCAAAGAATTTAAAGCCACCACAATGGACGTTTAGACTTCAAAATCTATGTGTCCATGCACTAAATTATCCAATTTGCAGAGATTCCAATACTTTCTACCACCATAAACCCAGCACATAATCTAACCCCAGAACATAGCCATAGTTCTGGGAACACAGAGATGGTTCAGAAAGCCAGAAGAAGCCTGTTTGCTTATTGGTGGGGAGGATTTGGAGGAAGAGCAAACTATATAAGTGCATGAGGATGGTTTTTGCATTTTTTCTAAGTTATAGTGAAAGCCACAGTTGGGACTCAACAATTTTATTGTTTGTAAAAGTACATATTGCGTACATAGAAATACTGCCAAAGAAAACGGGACATAAAACATCACAATATTATTTAGTGCAACACTCAATAGCTAATAAATATTACACTTATCTAAATATAAATATAATCTCAAGAAACATTACCTAGCAGAGCAATATTGCTGCTACTTAATAGCAACCTCCTCAAGCTTGACAGACTGCTGGTTCCTTCAAGGATGGAGGGGGCAGCAAGCCGGAAGCTTAACTTGGTGAGCCTGCAGATACCCCTGCCACAGTGTCTGTGCTCAGGAAGAATCGATTCAGAGTATTCCGTGGTTGTATGGGTTGTCTAAGTGCAATAAAAAGGGGGAGAAAACAGAGTGATGGCCAGCTGTCCTCAAATTTAGCTGTAGATGTACGGTTTAACATGGTTAGGGCTACTAACTTCATTGGCTAAAAGTGAAATTTGGCATCACCAGGATGTGACAACAGGCTAACTCAGACTAAAGGATGCAAGGGACAAAGAGAAACTTAGCTTAAATTCACTGTAGGCAAAAATTCATAATCTGTTTATAGATGCTCACTTTCCACATACTGGTTCAGACTATGAAGAGATTTTGGCATCAATCTTGATTCGAAGGTAGCACTCTGATCCTGCTTTTAGGATTGACAACGTCTCATCTGAGTGTTGGGATTCTCCTTGCCTGGGAGAGTCTGCATGATATGTGTAGGAGTAAACCAAAGAAAATAACATGGAATCAAATCAAAGTGGGAAAATGTATAAGGCAGGAACTAATGCCTTGCCTGTATCCATATACCTGAAAAGATATGCTAGCTCCTAGAAGCTACCCTAGAACCATGAGTCTAAAAAATAACAAAAATTAAGCCTCCCTCTATGAAGAAATAGTTTGACACAGGATATGTGAGATCATGGGATTACATTATTTCCTTGTTTCATTTTTGTTGGCAAACATATTTGAATCTGACTTCTGTAATGACAGGAGAGATTGCTGCTGGAAGTTTGCACCTTACAGTTTTTGTAAACTGCTGTCACCTAAGGTTTACTCATCTTCTTATCTGCCCAAAGAGAGAAGCACCAAAAATACATGCTGCATATATGCACATACCATCTGTGAGTCCTCTTGACTTCTCTAGTTATTGTTAATGCTTAGCAGAAAGTCCTGATCTTATTTACAAATTCTGCAGGACACCAACACCCACACTTTTGGCTTTGAGGTCAGTTACGTCAAAACAGTGTCTCTGTCTTGCAGTGAAAACATAAATTTTAATTGAAATACCAGGAGATGGATATTGTTTATATGTTCTTCTGCTGTCACCACATAATGTGGAACTCCTCATGGAGTCAGTACCCAGGCAGACCATTCATATAGGACTTTTTCTTTGATCAGTCCCTTTGTTCACAGAAGAGATGGAAAAGTCTTGTGATGATTCAGGTACTCTTTGAAGAATGAGAAAACTCTTCTTACTATCAGTGGTGCACTGAGCACATGATCTACTCATGGTTACACTTCTGAGCCCTCTGGCTCCTTCCTTCCAAACATACCAGTTCAGGAGTAGGCTTCTGTACCTTTCACAGATAATCAGATCCTGGGATCCTGCCTTGTCCTGGACTGGAAACACATAGCACTCTGCACTGCTCAGTCCTCCATTCTCCGTTCAAAGAAATTGGATGGAAATCATTATTTAACTTCCCACTCACTGCACTACACAATTTGAGAGAATTTCAAGATTCTTCAACATGCTGCTTTTTCTCTTCCCTCCTTACAAACTTGCATGCACGTGCAGGCACCTCTTCAGTTTACTGGGTACCAGAATCTTGTTTCTGTTATGCCACAGTTTCAAAGAAAATCATGCAAAGGGAGAATGAAACCACCTTGAAATATCAGCATCAGAAATACAGTCACTAAACCCAGCCTGTTCCCATGTATCCCAGGCTTATTCCTGTTCAGAGCTTTCAGGTCTAGCCCACTCTTAATTAGAAAGCCATGGAAATGTCTAAATGTTCCTCAGTTAAAGACAGGGGTTATTTCCCCAGGGAAGACATTAATTTGGGAGTTCACAGAACTGGAATAGCAATGTCAGATCTCTTAGCTTTGAGGCTGTATCTTCAGGAAAAATACACTTGCTGGATTGTGTGGTTCAGGACTCTCTGCTCAATTGCAGCTTCTGCTTGTAAGATGCAAACGACATTCTTTGCCAAACCAAAGCCTGTGTCTGTCTAGGCTCTGGAAGACCTGGGGGTATCTTGTCTGTCTGGAACTACCAGCTTCTGCTCGCTCCTTCTCCCCAGGCACATGGCAAGTATCTATGGTGAGAGGATTCCTCTTAATGCTTTGTGTGAGAAAAATCCAGCCATCTGCTCTCTTGGGACTCTCTTAGCTTTGCTTAGCTGTTGGTGCCATGATTACAGATCAAACTCAGAGATTTCACTCAGTTGATACAGCAGAAGAGAAAAGGATGGCCGGTCATCTTTCCTCTGAGCAGGGGAGAGAAGAGAGAGGGAGAACATTAGTGTTAGCTTGAGAGGAATGGCATGGTTAGGAAGGAAAACCTTGTGAAGAAACTATTAACAAAAATCCAATCTATTGTTATAGAGAAAATGCCAGTGAAAGAATGAATTTCCTTCTGTGCAATGTTTCTTTTCTACTGGCAGTGATTTTTGCCTAGTGGACACTAAGTACCTTGTAACGGGTTGGCTGTCAGTTTTACCATCACAATTAAAAATTGGCCACACAGATCCACAGCTTTCTTAGGAAGCAAACTGTTGAATTAACTTCAGTTAGGTGCACTACATAGGCTTCTCAGTGAAGTCAACACACTCTATAGAAACAGAAGCTTGAACAAAAGGCAAAGAGCCTAGAGTTTTCTTGCTAGCACAGATGAAGCTACAGAGTGCTTCACCTCCAGGATTTTATCTTGTGTTAGCATGTGAAGCGTATGCCTTCTAAAAGCCAGGGGGAAGAGAGCTCTTGTCTTTGGAACTAGGGCTCTCCCATTATGATACTAACCATCCTCCAGCAGTGGCTCATGACCTCATAAATCACCTTGGAGGCCAGCTTGGGTTTGTAAAGCCGAAATCCTGCATTGATTTCTTCCACCACTTCTCCATTGGTGCGATTCTCATAAGGGATTTTACCTTCACTGAAGACCTCCCACATCAGCACTCCTAAAGCAAACAAATGAGAAAAATCAAAAAGAAGCAAATAAAATTCTCAGCAGGCCCACGGCCACCTCCCACCTGCTCTCAACATTGATGTCTGTTATTTGGAAAAGCATTTTCATTCGGATTCTCAGTACACATCTGAAAAATCAGGCTCTAACACAGCTGTATAGTTTGAGGATGCCAACTAAGATCTCTTGTGGGCACTGGACTGTGAGGAAGTACCAGTTTGGTGACTGCAAGTTTGACTTCTCTGCATCCTTCTTCATGGTAGTCTAGCATGACAGGGATGTATTTCCCCATGAGTCAGATGAAGTCTAAGTGTGTTATATGTCAGAAAGCAGAGCAGTGTTCTATGTCTTCTCCCAAACCGTGAAGAAGATGAAATGTACTCCATCCAGATGTGTAATGTGGGAAAGAGAACCCGCCTTTTGTCATTGATTCAGTTTCACTATTTTTGCTTCCAGTTAATTACATATAAGAGAAATGCCACTGATTTTCCTGTCTGCAGTGTGACCTACACCAGAATTTGCTTGTATTTGGGTGAGACTCAGGAGCAAGAAAAGCAATATGAACTGCTCCATTCTTGTTAGTCAGTTTAGCCTCAGTACTGGGAACTCCTTGCCTGCAAAATGTCCCAAGAGGTGTGATTCACTGGGATGAATTCACATGCAATGACAGTGGAATTTCAAAGGATTGCAGCACATTTTCCCACTTTTCCTAAACAGTCAAATGTTTTCCTGTGATTACTGTTTAGTGCAGTACAGAAACTTGTGCTTCTCTAGTGTGGTGGAAGAGAGGCAGGCAAAGACAGAAGGACCATGGAATACATTGTGGTTGGCCACCCAATCAGAGAGGCTCTGCATATGGAGGGAATACAAGGCATGTGTGTTATTACTAGGTTTAATTTCTTTGGTCATCTAATATGACTGACTTGGTAAACTCTATTCACATTGTATTAGAAAAGGGAGACAGGCAGCTAGATAGACTGATCTAAAATAAAGTTGGGTAACTCCAGTCAACTTTGCTAAATAATGCCTGCTTTCTAGCTTTGAATTTTTCAAATAGGAAGATACATAGAGATTGCAGCTCCTCACCAATGATGTTGGTTTTACTGAAGAATAAGCAAAGCAATTGTATTCCCCCAGCGTGCAGATGCCTGCACTGGGAATTTCTCATACCCATTTTGTTCTCCTGGGCACAGCAGGATTTCAGGCCTGGCAGAAGAGATGAATGGGCTGCAGAGTAGTGGAGCAGAAAGCTTCTCACAGTCATGAGACCATGACATGACAGAGGAAGAATCCTCTTATGCAAACCCCACTGGATGGGAGATAACAAGTCTGACAGATGTACAACACTGCTGCCTGCACATTTCACAAAGAAGGACTGACCAATGCAAACAGAGCTCACTGGTATTTCATTCAGCCCTGAAACTGGAGTGAGCCAACTTCACCAGGCTTGGCTTGACTGTAAATCAAACTGAGCACCCTTTTTGGAAGCATCTGGATTTCAGTGTACAGGCCAGTTTCTGAATTCTGAAGCAGAACATTCTTATCAAAGTAGCATCTTTCCCCATGTCACTGCCACTTTGCAGGTGTCAGAGGGAGCTCCACTGGCAAATGTGGTCCCTTGTTATTATGTGGTGAGTACTGACAGCCTCCTCCACATGCTGGGGGACACGGAAAGAGGAATGGTGCTCTTTGAAGCATCTCCGGGTTGGGTTTGCAAAGGTGGTTGTGTGGGTCTGAGCACTCAGCTCCCACTGCACTGCTCATAACCCAACACAGGAAGGCACAACTTCAACCTCAGCAGAAGACAGTGAAGGGAGAGGGAAGCAGAGAATTCACAAGCACAGACTAGCAAACGTTATAATCCTGCATTATTTACTGCTAGGCCCGGAGCTGAGTGGCACCCCATTGACTGTGTGCTGTGCACAGCACACTGCACTGATTCATTCTGCAGTACCATGATTTGCATGCTAGCTGGAGATGGGCCAGACACATTAGTGTGCCAGATCGACAGGCCAGGGGATAGCCTTTGTTATCTCTAGCGCCAACGACTTTGGGGAAAAAAATATACAATGGCTTTCTTATCTATGAGGGTCCAGAAGGGAGTCCAAATAACCGAAGCGAATCATAAAACAATGCATTGGGGAGCAGGAAATGAGGTGATCAAATGTGAGCAGTGAAATAATATTTTCAGATCAGCATAAAGCAAATGGAGTCAGCAGAGCAAACTTGGAAAGGCCAAGGGTTTGAGTGAAGCATCCGTACCCAAGACTAACATGCAGAGAGGTGGAGTGCCTAAATGTCTTTCCTTTCCATTCCTTATATAATTTTGTCAGGGACTCTCCAATCTTGTCTTAGACACTCCTGCTATATCAACGTAAAATAGAGTTCATTATTTGGTATTATATAGAATTGCACAGGTATAATAATATTTTGCAGTGTTCCAAAGTATCTAGGTAGTTTATTATTCTTTTATTTCTTTCACTTGTATGATTTAGGCTTGCTTTCCTAAGTCTTGCTCCCTTGGAGCCCAGAGCGTGTGCTGTTTAAGAGAGTTTACTTGACGACTGAACCCCTAGGTTTTGTGAGCTGGTGTTTGCTAAATATTTTCCATTCTGACAAGAGGTTCTTACCAAATGACCAAACATCAGATTTGGTGCTATAGTGGCTGTAGGAGAAAACCTCTGGAGCAGACCACTTGACTGGAAACTTGGTACCCGTGGAGCTGGTATACTGATCATCAAGGACAATCCTGGAAAAGGAAAAGAAGGGAGCATGCTGAGTAACCCCACCTCCATCCTGTGACAGCCCCGCTGGGAACGCGCGCAGCCTCGGCAGCATTACCTCGACATCCCGAAGTCAGACACTTTGACCACGTGGGATTCCCCCACCAGGCAGTTCCTAGCAGCCTGCAGGAAAAGAAGGTGCCAAGGCAGAAGGTCAGAGCTGAAAGACTATCACAGCCACTCAGTTGCAGAGCAAATAGTGCTTAAAAGAAGGAGAATCAAAGTGACATTGTACCATACGAAGGGACTGAAAACTTGAGGTTGTCATGCTTTCTGTACATTTTATGTCCAGCATGTTCCTGTTGCTAAGAAATCTGTTCAACCATTAGTCTGACTTGCAGGCCCTTGTTGCCCAGAGAGGGCAGAGAAAGACCCTAAAATATCTACAGCTACTCCCAATCCTTGCTTCCCTAACAAAACATCAGCAGTGACTGATGCAGCTTGATTGAATGCCATGTAATTAAAAGTATTTAACAGTAATGCATGTTTATACATATGTTAGAACAGGTCTTTTTGGCATCTTCACTGATTTTAGACGTGAAGAGTGGTCAGTACTCAGGGACTGTGGGAGCCGGGGCTCTCAGGGAGCAAAAAAGTCCACTCAGAAAAAGACAAATTTATGTCCTCATTTCTTCTCCCCCAAACACAAATAAGTGTAAGAGATTAATCAGCACACCAGGGGATGTTTTTTTCCTAAAGTATTGATGCTGCTTCTGCAATAAGGGAAGATACAGGATCCCCTGTCAACAGATAGGCAGGAGGAGTATGAAAGCTGAAATTAAGGAAGGGAGAAAGCACAGGGCAAAGCCCAGCTGGAGCAGCGGAAAGGTCTATATGGAATCAACATACCAGGTCTCTGTGGATGACAGAGTTTTGTTCCAGATAAGCCATTCCTTCGCACACATCTTGGCACATCCCCAGCAGAGTCTCCTTTGAAAAACTGCCCCGCTGGCTCCTGAGGTAGTCGGACAAGCAGCCATTCTCCATGAACTCAAACACCAGGCTTATGGGAGTGTTCTCAAAGCACACACCATAAAGCTGGACTAGCTTGGGGTGAGACAGCTTCCTGTGGGATAGGGAGGGAAGTTGGAAAAGAGGCTGAAATAGGTTCAATACCTTCTATCTTTATAGCAAATGTGTTATACACAGCAGCCTATGTCACCTTGCTTCACCCTTCTCTCTGAAAAGGCCAACTGTGAAAGCAGAAAGAAGAAAACGTGTAGACCAAGTCTAATGTCAAGTAGCACTAAGTATCATCCCATTTTAATGGTAATGGTCACCAAAAGACTTTTCTGAATGGAAAACCACCCAACCAAACAAGAATAAAATCCATTTCTGTCTATTTTGAAGGGAGGAAGATTTAAAAAATAAAAAATCAATCAGGCCAAAGAGAAATATTTTCAGTTGAGCAAAGCAAAAAAAATTTGCAGGTAAGGTTTTTCAATAAAATTTCGCTCAAATTTTAAGATATTTCTCCATCTGATTATTTTTGACAAAAATCACTTTGCTCTCCAAAACACACCGTCAATTAACCCTGCCTTCCAGAACAGCAGAGATATGGAAGACCATTCTGGATATTGACAGAAGCACAGTAATTCACCTACACTTTGAATTGCCTTCCTTTGTAACCATCAGAGCTCACTGGTCTCTCTACCTACTATTTAGATACATAGTAGATAATCCAAGTTTAAATTCCCCATTCATATTCTTGAACAGGATTACAACTCTTTGGTTCAATCTTATGAATCCTACTGGGTTTAATTTTCTTGGTGAATCTACTGCTTACATCAAGACTTTAGCTTCCTCAATGAAATCCTCTTCAGACATTGCTCCTTCACGAATAGTCTTTATGGCTACTTTCGTCTTCTCCAGCAAGTAGCCAAGGTAGACCACTCCAAACTGACCACTGCCAATTTCCTGTACACAGGTGAGCTCAGAGGGATTAATGACCAATTTTCCTGTTGATTGTAAGGGAAAAAGAGTAAGGAACTAGAAGTAAAATGTCAAACAAAAAGCTTTTGTGTCTTAAACATTGAGACAAGACTTGAAGTGAGACTTTCTGGCTCTCCCTCAAATTGTCTGTCTGACCTTTGGTAGCTCATTTGACTAGTCCATGCTGCAGGTCATTTTCAAGAGTAGGAACAACAACATCCCCTTCCTTTCCCCATTTGTCCTGTCTATCCAGTTCTTCAGGAAGATTGTTTATACCATGCATATACGTACGACCAAGCACAACATGGTTTTGAGTTTCTTTGATGTTTCCAAGAGTTATTATAGTAAAGATGACACCAGCAAAATTCTGTAGACAATACTCAAATGGAGGTATCTTTCAGGAGGAACTCAGATTTCATCAAGTTATGCTATGCTCATACACTCATCACCTTTCACTGATTTCAGTGTTTAATGTTGAATTCACTGAGACCCTAGGGTTCTCCTCACCTCCCTGAAGGTACTGCACCATCAGTTTAATCAGTTATCAATGGTAAAAACAAAGATGATAATCTAGTGAACAGTGCAGTTTAAAGATCTGAAGAAAGCTATTTATTGTGCTGACAGTCACATGAATATCCATCAACAGCCGTGGGGATATTCAGAATCACCCAGCTAACCAGTGGGGAGTGTGATTCCCGTGTAGTCATGAGAGTATCATACCGTAGCTCAGCCCTGCAGTGATTGGGGCTGTTTTTCTCCAAGAAGAGACTGCATACCGCAAACGAGTGACAAGACCTGAGTAAGAGAAGAAAAGGTGGGTTCCAGTTATTGTCACAGTCATGGGAAGTGTGGCTGTAACTACCCCATAAGGCAGTCTGAATACTGGAAGCAGATTTATTGTACTGAGTTCTCAGCTCCACTTGAGGGCAGCTGAACCTCTAATCAGACCGTGATTTACTGCCTGCTAGAAGGAAGCCAATTCTGAGCAGTTTCAGCTCATTTCACGTTTTCACTCAGTCAGCAAATGTGATCTGTGAGTTTCTATTAACTCTGATGAAATTCCAAATTATACCTTTTATTTGTAGGATATTTTTGAAGCCCAGGGTTTCCTTTGGTATTCCTGGATGGTAGGGATGGGAGTCTTTGGTGACTCCCATATCTGGCTATGGATCCTGGCCATGTCCCTAACTTTGTGTTAAAGCAAGGCCCAGGGATATATCATCTCCTGGGTAAGAAGGCGCTGCAGTGTAATTCAAACAGGTAGCTTGGTCTGGAAGTAGTGACACACCCCCATGGCTCCCAGGAATGAAATTGCTCTCTATAGTATGTCATTACAACACCTGTGTTGGTCATAGTCAGCCTTAGAAGGATGGCCAGAATGAAGATGTAATGCTGGAAGCTGGCCTGAGATAGTAATTTTCCTGCCATCCAAGTACCAGGATAGTGGAAGAAATGGTGATGCCATTTAACATTTCATTGTAAGGACAGAGGGCTTTGGATCCTTCCTTCATCCAAAACAGTCACCTGGTGGCATGGCAAAACAGCAGTTTCCCTGGTCAGCATCAGCCTTCACTCACCTCCTGCATTGTGCTGGTGATAGTTGATGAGTTCAGGGATGCAGTCAAACACATGCTTTTCTGCCAAGTAATATCGCTTGGGGTAGTCAGTTGTCTCATTGATGTGATAATGCTTTATAACGGGATTGTTATCCATGCTGAAAAAGAGGTTTTCTTTGATGAAAATGAGGTTGCAGCAAAAAGACAGGAATTTGGGGTATAAATGGAAGGGGAGAAAGCAAGCAAGCAAAGGGTAGAACCTTCCCTAGACAGAATGAATGGGAGAGGAGCAAGGAGTGAGCTGCAATTGCTAATGAAAGCTGCATACTTGCATGTTCTCCCTCTCACTCATAGCTAGTCTCATCTCTAGAAAGGCTGAGGTTTCCCAATGAGAGCAGGTTGAGTTTCTCTGACTCTCCTTTCTGAAACAAAACTTTCTGCCCCATCATTGAAACCCTTTCACTAGTCTTGTATTACCCACCTCTGATGAATCCAGCATATAGTCCACGTTGATCCTACTGACACTTCAGCTGGGGGGACAATTTCGTCAAAATTACAACCCCAGTGATGACTAGGGGACTATTTATAGGCATATATTTAGAGGCAGGGAGAACTGGAGCCTTTAATACACTTTGCGAATGGCAGCTAACTCTTCTGCCTTTTTTGGAAGTGTTTTCCTCTGTCATTTTCATGAGCCTTCTGCTCCCTCTTTATAATGCCAAAACAACTACAGAGATTACACTCTCATAGAAGCCATTTCATTGATGTAATTGATGCAAAAAGCTGCTGAGTTCAGCTGTACCTTAATGCTTTGGTGAAAACAGAGACTGTGTACATGCCAGGCTGCCTTGAATCTCTCACCATGAAGGCACCTTCCCTACCCTGTAACAGGAGCAAAAGAGAGAAAACTGGTTAGAGACATGATGGAAAAAAAGAAGCAGGCTGGGGCAAAGCTCTGCTCATTTCAGCCCTGTCTATGTTCAGTCACAAGGATGTGCTAAACATGTAGGAAAAAAAAGTGCCATCGGCCAACTGACAGTGCTTGGTCTGTTCCATGCACAGCTCTGATGGCTGCCCCAGGCCTCCAGGTACACCCAGCTGGTCTCTCTTTGGAGCTCTGTATTTTTAGCTCAGTTTCCTGATGAAACGAGACTTATGTGCTCTTATTGAGTATGTGTGGGTGTGGGGACATGAGTGTGTGTGTCTGTCCCTCCAAGCCTCTCCTCCAGAGATTTTGAACACATTCATTGCTTTCAACCGTATCTGACAATACCGGTGGTATCAGTTTCCAACAAGTTCACTGAAACGGGCAGCTGATTGGAAAGGCAAGCCCCTTTGAACACCCTCTATTGAGAGCAGCTACATAACAAGAGTACAATTTATTCAACACCAGAGACTCTGTATGGGAGTGTATGAAAGATCAATTACCAACATACCACAAATGGGAAAATCTTGACCCCAGTCATCTAGCATCTAAACAGAAATGTGTAGGAAAGCAGGCTTCCTCCACTCTGGCACTCACAGAACAATCTTCCTTTTTAATTTTTCACTGTAATTGTTTTCTCTTCATCTGCATGTTAAAGTGTATCATAGGCCATGATCCTGCAGTGCCAGGCACTAATGGATCATACGGCAGAGGAGAAGATTTAACATCACAGTTTGGATGTAATGTGCTGTGCTGGCCTATATATTGATAATAAATAACGCATTTTTTCTTCTGTTTACAGATAAAGATGCTTTTCATCTGGCATCCCAAGTGCCTGATTATTTCATTCCCTCCTTTACTTTACATAGTAGATTTCCTCCACTTTATATCTCTAATATCCACCCACAATGCTTGGTGCAAACCTAATCCAACAAGTGTACCTCAGCCTCTGTCCCGCCTCCCCAGTGGACTAATTCAGCTCCAGGTGAACCCAGATGCTGAGACTACTCCTGCATCCCCTGCATCCGAGCTGGTGCCTTGCAGCTCTGCCCAGGTGGGACCGGGCCACTGAGCTATAAACCTTCCAGAGTTGTCTCTTCAATGTGTGTCTGCACAACATCTCCTATACCTGCACTATACAATAATTAGCACAGGGAAGCTCTAAAAAGGGTTTCCAGATGCTGCTGTAGAAGCATCTATATCATGCACAGTGAGGGCTTTAGGACTCGTGTCCGTGGCAGCGTGAGGTTGCTTGCACAGGTAGGCAAGTATTGGAGACAGCATCTTGCCTGAGTTCCTTCAAGCACTGTGTTTGCCCTTCTGTCTCACTTGACATCAAGTCTGGCCAAAGATTGCTTGAGAGCTTGGCCACATTTCTGGGGGGAGCTGTGGGAGGCTGCTGCAAGGTTTTGAACCAAAAGGTTTTGCAGCCACACAGGGGTAGCTGCCACAGAAGAGCTGCGTTGGTAGGACCAAAAGGAAAAGTAAGATCACTAAGCCATGCGTGGACACATCCTGTAGGAGTTTATAGGAACTAAAAGAATTTTTAAAACCGCACAGAAGTGCTTTTATTTCCATAAGATACTATAATCCAAGAATCATCACTTTATTCAGGTGACCTGTTAGCTGTAAGAGCTGATTTAAAAACTACGGTTGTGTTTCTGTGGAAAATTTGAACAAGAAGTGTATTCGTTTTATTTTCACTAGAGTCTTCACTGGAAAAGTCTGTCTCAACTGAAAAATTAAAGAAGCATGCTCACATACACACACACACAAAACTAAAAAGAACCACCCAAAATCATACTCTTGGCTTTCAACCAAAATATTTCAGCACAAGATTGGTTAGATTTTCAGAGAACTACTGGCATCTGCAAGCTTCCTGCAGAGACAGAAAAGATGAGCTAAAATCAGTTTTCAGTCGACACAGTGTTCTGAAACAGTGTTTTCCATCAGCCCCAGTTACTGTGTGTGTTTGACTGAAAAAGGATGGCACAGCTTTCTGCCCACACTCAGCTGCTGTAGAGGTAAGGGGGGGTTGCTAGTGGCCCTTTATCTTGCACTGCACACTAAGAGCAGCCAAGGACAGCAACACAGCAGGAACCTGGGGTTCAGCTCTCTCTTACACAAAGCAGCCCTCACAGGCTTCTCCTCATTTGTCATTAATTATTATTGCCCATGCACCCCACACGTAACACTGGTTTACCTCATCCTTGAGGAGTGTTTCTGCTTTGCTTCTGCTGATGTTCTTATTGTACCATCTGAAAACATCAAAAGAGTCTGAGTCAGCATTTCTGCTGAAAAGCCTCTGAATTGAGTGTCTGCAGCGCTAGCAACGACACATTGTGCGGGGTAGGGACATTTGAGGCTTGTAGCTTCTAAAACAAATCCAAGGCACTTAGTGGTACAAGAAAAACATAGGCACAACTTACTCATATATTTGTAGATTTTCAGGTGATTTTTCCGCCAGGTAGCTACTCGGCACATAGCCTTCATGCCTGTTAAAATGCAGCACAGCATGAGTGCACCAGACAGGATTTTCTCTGCATCTGTGGGAGTCAGCCCTGAAAGATTTGCCTCCTCTTTGCATGACAGAAATGCTGGTTGTTATGTATTTAGTAGGGTTACTGGAGAAGGAAACAACTGATTGCACCTCTAAACTTGGAGAGTTTCACATTTTTTTTCCCCCTACATGTATGACAGCAAATATCGGCCTGAGCTAAGCACTGTTTGTTTTGTTTTGTTTTGTTTTGTTTTGTTTTGGTTTGGTTTGGTTTGGTTTGGTTCGGTTCGTTTTCTTTTTAATTAACTTTCAGATCCTTTTTCTTCAGCTGCCTGAATACAAGCAACATCAAAGGGAAGAAAGTTACCATAAATAACATTCCATATCTCTTCTGTATATCGGAGGAAACTTCACAAAAGTTATAGTAGAGGCCAGCATATATATTAATGGAAGAGCAAACTGGATGTAGAAAGGATTTGTAAATTGGCTATTGAAAAAAGACTTACCCATTCTTATCTTGAATCAGCCACCAATGTTCCTCAGAGCTGTCAATCACATAATATTCCTCGTTATATTGTAATGTTAGCTCCTGCGGATTCTGGGCTTCATAGTCATATATGGCCATGACTAAGGCGTCCTTTGGGTCTAGCAACAATTTCTGCATAAATTAGGCAAAAGTCTCATCATATTCATATTCACATTCACATTCACATTCACATTCATATTCGTATTCATATTCATATTCATAAAAACCAGTGCCATGCTCTCTAAAATGATGTTTCCCTGGCAGCATTGACCTCTGGGTTCAAAAGCCTCAAAGCTAGGAAAGCATTCCAGGGCATCTAGTAGAGTATGGTGGCAACATGAGAATTTTCAGCACTTTCAAACAATTAATTTCATATAAAAATTTTAATTGCACAGCACATAGTTTTCTACTCCTTCCTAGGGCAGGATTACCTTATCCTCACAGATGTTTTCCAAACTCCTCTCAAAAACCTCCAGTGATAAAATCTCCATGGCTTCCCTGGAGGGACTGTGCCAATGTCCTGCTGCCTCCAGTCCCATCTGGAGCCCCTACCTTGTCCCATCCACAAGCAGGTTTGGAAAATCACTTCTCTGTTCCTCTTCACAGCAGCTTTTCTCACATCCCCCTACTTCCCCAGTTTCCCTTTCTATAGCTTAAAAAAATAAAATACAGTTGAACCTTCACTCACCATTGGAAAGCTATTTGTGAAAACAAGCTTCCCTTTGCAGGACTGAACTTAACTCTAGTGGGATGCTGCTGATTTATAGCTTATGAACAAATATGGAAAAAGTAATAGAAAAGTCCAGGGAATGTTGTAACAGGTGATATTCCAGGTCACTGCACCGTGGTGAACCTTTTTGAGGATATATTCACCACTTCTAGTTAAACACCCAGGGCACTAAGGACAGCTTAGTGTGCCTCATTGCACTCACCCGGTTGTCTTCAGGAGTGGGAGGAAGAGGCTTCTTTGAGGCTGAAATGAAATCAACAAAGATAATTTGAAGTAGATCTGGACAAAACCAGGGGAGAAACTATCAAGGTAATGAATTAATAAAGGTGATACAAAACCAGTGAATAGCAAACCTTGGTCTTTTAGATTAAGACATGCCAACAGCCTGCACCTACACAGTGACTCTCAGCCACACAGCATGGGTTTGAAGCTGATGTGCTTAAGGAATCACCCAGGTACAAGGTCAAAGTGTCTTGGTTGAAGAATGATAGAATATGCTTTTTCAGGAGACAGAGATTACACTGGGCTGTTGAAACCACAGGGGAAATATGGCTAGGCCAAAATAGGACACACAGGATAGAATGTGTATATCTCAAGAAAGTTGTTATTATGGTTTATTGACTGACCACAGTGGTCCTTAGTTCTCCTTCTCATTGCAAAGACAGCACCAAGCATCACATAGAGGAAAATATTAATTCAAAACAAAGAATGCCATATACAGTAACAGACAAACTAGAATAAGGAATATCCCAAGAAACCATTAAGAAGTCTTTTGATGGAAATGTAACATGACATTCACTGATGTTCAGTATGGAAAAGATTTGATCCTTTACTTTGCTAGCAATAAATATTTTCAAGGTCAGGGTGGTCTTAACAAATCCCATACCATTTTTGGTGGGGTCATACTCCACACAGCCAGCTGCCATCTTCTCTGTCTGAGCACAGCATCTCCACTTGCCATCTATCCAAAAATCTGGATGACACTTTGAAAACAGGCTGTTGTTTCTGGTTTCTGGAAAATGTTAGGGGAAGAAAAAGGAGGGGAAAAATTCATTTATTTGCTTTCACATCAGCTCTGAAAGACATCTAGAACTGAATGGAAATAACCTGCACTTTAGAGAAGCTTCTTATTCTTGTCAAACCAGGCTTTGGTGAATATTATCAGCCTCCTCCCTTAATGTTTTCCTTTTTCCTGAAAGCAGTGAATGTCACCACTGATATGGAAGAATAGCCTTTGTGCTGGTGATGGAGCCCATACCTCCCTACTGTGGGAAAACAGAATCCTACCAAAGAGACTCTCTCTTTTAAACTGATAATCACCAAAGCCACGGAAGGAAGGTCTCATAAAATGAAAGACTACAGCTCTACAGTATGTATATATATAGGACATGGACACTTGCTGCTTTGGCTTGGTGTTCAGAAGGAGCTGTACAAGCTGGCCTTCACCAGCATTAAACATTTTTTACACATGTAAATACCAGTCTTGAATGTCTGTATGAGTGATTAAAAGTCCTTCTTTTTGAAGCTCAGCCTCTCTATATGTAATAATAATTTTCCTAAAAAGAACAAAAAATTTCTGTTGGTCTGTTGCAAGAGACTATTCAGATTGTCCAAGGGAGGGGAGAGTCTCAAGGTGTTGAACGAGAAGCGGTGATAAAGTAGAAGCTTGGAGCAGGTGCACTCCAGAAGGGGAGTGACTGGTTGCAAGGGTAAGTGCATGAGCTTAATAATAACTCCATCAGGCACAATGTTTACAGAGTGAACAATACAGCAGCTTGTGTTATAAAGCACTAAAAAGTTATGACAGAAGCCTGGTGCAATTTTCATGTAACTAACACCTTTCTTATGTCAAGTATTATGGTCCATTTCTGCCTGCAGTGGTTAGTTATTGTGCCTTCACTTCAGAACCATTGCAGTGAACCACAGCACAATTCAGGAGGTGAACAGGAAATGAAAGCTGCCCGCAGAAATGTTTCTTAATAACCATGATCCTCTAAGAAGATTGTAATCTAAACAAAAAATCTGCTAATAAGAGATGAGAAAATATTTTACGCAGAAAAGATTGATTTTTAAAAAAAATTAACTACAGAAAAATCCACATCTTCTCTTGAATAAGAAGCCTCAAGTTACAGTAGCATATTAATAGTTTATCCTAGAAAGAGGCAAATAAAGCATTCCATGTCCAAATGTTCCACTGCTGCTGAAAACACACCCACCAAATTTACAAGCAATTTGATTTTATAACCTCATTCCCCATTACCAATTTGTGTGCTTAGATATAAGGCATTGACTCCTCTTGCACATTTTCTCTGCATTATAGCTTATGAGAAAACTGGTCTGGGATAAGTAACCTCAACAATTAGGTGAGCACAGGGGTTTTATTACCTTCTTTCAGTGTAAAGACCCATCTCTGCCGGCTCTCACGATTGGGTGCAAACACGTAGAGTATGTGGTTATCATGGACGACCTGGAGAAGGGCATAAAGAAAGGAGCCAGCCATTAGAAGCCATCTGAGATGCGCTGGGCACGATGGAGTCACTGAAGGAAACAGGCAGCAGCTCTCATACCAGTAAGTTATATGCAAAATGATGATATGGGGAAGTGGAGTAACAGGGCCTGTTCAGAAGCATCTCTTAAGCACATTAACTTTTGATTATTTAAAACGGAGTAGAAATCCCCATCAAGAAAGAATTCTAGACAAGCAGTGTTTTAGATCAATTTTATGTTGTTAAGAAATGGCCATGAAATCAATGGAGACGTAGCAATTTAAATCTGCAGAGGATTCAGCCCGTTACTGACTGCAGTTTATCCTCCTAAAGCATCTCTGGGGAAATGGCATCCGTTTCTTAGCAGTTTCTTGTAAAATACCTTTACTTAAGATCTAAGAGTAAAATTTAGCTTTTCTTGTGTCAGTGTAAATCTCAAGCAACTCCCTGGAGATTATTTGGATTACCTTTACTCTTCAGACTTTTTAATAGCTTTCAGTAGGATAATAGAGGAGAAATAGGAAGCTGAGGCAGATGAACAATGAGCATCAAGATGCTGTTTTCATCAGCTTGGCCTTAATGATGAACAAATGAAAGGAGAGAAATACAGAACATTTGTGAAGTTTCAGACCAGGGAGTAAAATCATCACAAGAACCAAAATGACTCAGAAACTGAATCGGATGACTACATTTGGGCCTAAAATTTGATGTAACATATAATCTATATTCCTCTTCCAATATTTATCTCAACAATTTAATTCCAAATGGGACTTGGTCTCTTTGATGCTTTGAAAAATGTTGACCATTGTCTTTAAACAGAGGTTTCTACAAGACAGCAGCTGTTTTTAAAAGTTTCTCCAGGGTTGTAGATGAGGCATTGCTGATTATTTTTAAAGAACAGGAAACATTTGCTATCTTTTGGCCTGAAGCCCTTGCAGGCACACACAGACAGCCATGTGACTCAGTTGCTTTCCATGCTATGGAGAGATAAATTATAACTTCTTTTAGAAAAAATAGAAACAGAGGAGGAATAATTCCTACTTATTTAAATCCACTCCTGTTGATATTATTATTTTGTCTGTATAATGTTTTGACAATCTAAGTCAGATTTTGAAATATGCAATAAGCAGATCACCAAAAGACATAGTCATGAGGATGCACAACTGCACAAAGTCACTCATTTCATGCCTCTCTGCAAGGGCCTTACTTGCCAGATAAGCCACACAAAGCCAAAAAGCCACTGGTGGTTCTACAGAAGATTTACATCTGGGTGCAGCCAGGATATTTTTTAAAAAACCCCAGACAATAACATTTTACAAAATACCACAAAACTGACTGTGGGACAAAATTTAGATTTGCTACAAGCAGCAGCGATTAGCATGACCTCAGCAGAACACTATCCATCATGACTGCTCCATTTTTTCCATCCATCCCACCAGTACTGGCCATTAACTTCACTTTATTTTGCTGTTCCTACAAGCATTGGAGATACAGAGATAGAGATTTTAAACAGAACAAACAGTTCTGAGCATTCTTTCCTTCTCTAGTCCAAGTTCACTCAAGTTAAGAGCAGTTGAGGTTCCCCCACCAAGCCTTCCCCCAGCCAGGCAGCTCCTACCAGCCCCCGTTAAGAGCTTTCCTGTGGGGCTGCTCGTTGAGAGCTGTTTGCAGCGTACAACAGCATCTTCTGTGGCTCCCAAATGCCCATCAACAAGGACGTAACACTGATCATCTGGTTTCTTGAGCACTCATTAGGCACCAACATAGCAACATTTTGTAATATTCCAGGACAATTTTTATGATCCTGGATGAGGACCACCCCAAACTGGAAGGAGGGTTTCCTGACCCAACCTAGTCTGGGAAATTTCCTCTCCCTTCTTATAACTCTGCAAGGAAACATTTGCCAGGGCTCAGACTAAAGCATGGTGGATATGCACTTTTACCGTTCAAATTGAAGCTGTAAGAGACAACTCTACAAGCTACTTCATGATTTTTCAGAATGACAATACCAAGCCAAGCCTCCATATTAATGCTGATTTTGAGATAACAAGAATGGAAAAAAAAAGAAATCTTGCTTTATGGTTGACTTTTCTCTTTATATGAATTTACCTATCTTTTTTAACATTGTGTACCTGGGTCACAATCATTAGCTTTTATCTGAAAATCTGAGTCCAGATGATTCCCTCTTTTAAAGCCATCTGTGAACAGAGATGGCCCTGTATTCACCGAAATCCGTACACCATAATTATTTTAAAAAATACTGTCACCAGTATGATAAAATTCTGATATGTGGCAGCACAGGGAATAACATAATAAACTGGGAATTTGTGTTGCAATAACTGAGCAAATATTCTGTGGCATTATGGTTACATGACAGTGTAAATATATCCTATATGTATTAATTGTTAACACTAGACAATGTGTTCCTCATCCTAGAGCTAGCACTGTCTGCCTTTTGGTCATTAAGCCATCTCATCACTAAAAGCCATCTCTGTTCTTGTCTGGAGCAGTCTCCCTAATGCATCATGTTCACCAGTTTCTGATGCAAAGGCCACTGAATGTATTTAGTTTCAGAACAGGTGAGCGGGCCAAATCCCTGAGTGGATTCTGAGTGTGAAAGATGGGCTTTCTCTGAACATTGTGTTAAGCAGGGGATAGGATTAGAAGATCTAATGATCCTTCCCAGCTTAAAACCAAAGAGCACAGGAGTTTATGGATCTTGTAATAACACTCAGTCTGTGATTCCCCAGTTCATTTCAAACCTCAGTCTGCTTTTTCTTCTTTTGTCATTATTCACCCTGGTGTTGGGTTCATTAATGACTGCACTGTGAGGGAGAATTTTATTGAAATAGAAAATGAAGTGATATCTCTATTAATATGGCCAACAGACAGACTCACCTGGAAAGGATATTTATACTGACAGGGAATGATGATGTCACTTTTCACAATTTCCACACATTTAATCCTGGAAAGTTCCACAGAACCCTTCAAAGTCCTTTTTTTCTGAAAGACAGAGAAAAGCACTTGGTTAATGCTAATTATTGTAGATTAATTGAATAATTAGACAAGGCTGTCATGTCCACAGGAGATTTAATTTTAATGGAGCAGAAGCAAATTAACTGATTATTATATAAGACATTTAAAAGTATAAAGAATCATTCTCATATATGGCACTTCTATATGGATTGCACATACACATTCACATATGCACATACATATATTTCAAATCAGAACATGGATTCTTTGAGAACCAGTTAAAACCTTTGGTTGACATTCAGGTTCTATTTTTCTCTTCCAACAAAATGAAATGCTCTTTTATCAAAAAAGAACTATTTTCATGAAGTGTTCAGTTTACTAACACTCCTGTTTCATATTGAAAAGCTATAAAACAACAAATATTTTATTAAAAAAATATTTGGGTACTGCGAATTTCAAAACTATGCATTTTATATAACATGTAACATTTTTACTGCATCTATTTTCCTAGAAACATAACACTTCTCTGGTTTTGCTCTGTTTGGGGTTTTAGCTAAGAAAAAATAACAGTAAATTTTTAAATAAATAATATCCTCAATAGCCTCTGCTGTGTTACTATTCATCATATAACCAGATAACAGTATGGACAGATAGGAGAGAGTAAGAAAAGAACAGATATCCAAGTATCCCAACTACCTCGGCGTACCCTATTTCCTATTGAATCCTCACCCTGTAGTCCCTTGGTGAGTGACACTCAGCTTTTGCAAGAGCGGGGCAAGGCAGACACCAGCACGGGGCAGGCAGGAGCTGAGCTGAGGCTTTGGTATCTGGTGCACGCTTCTGAAGGATTCACTACAAATGAGTTTGCTGTTCGGAGGCAAACTGGTTTCCTGTTTTGATTCGTTTTCAGTAGGGATTAAACACTAGCTGTCTCCCAGCTCAGCTTTGTGACAACGTGACGGAAATCAGTGAGATTTAAGAACCCCCAAAAACACTGCAGAAGCTTCTGTTTTTCAAATGCAGATGACTGTCAACAGGAGAGAGCATGAACTTCAGCAACTGTGTTGTACCCGTCACGGGTTATCACTCAGAGACACAGCAAGACTTCAGCAAACTTCTCGCCCTCCCTTGGACCCCCAACCCAAACCTTTGTGTTCTTCACCTTCCAGCTCCTTCTCGCCTCTTGCTCCCTACATCACCATGACCCTGCAGCTCTGCCCCGCTGGCAGTGGCCATCCCCACCACTGTGCCAACCCTCACTCCTGCTCTGCTGCTACCTTTCATCATTAAATTTACCGTAAAACAGGGAAGCAGCTGATGCTGCTGGAGATGGGGTGAGGTTTGCCACAGTGTTACTGTCAAACAGCCTCAAAAAAGAGAGGCCCCAAGGCTCCTCAAACCTCATTCTTGCACAGTTTGTCTATTTTACTTTTGTATACTTTGATTTGAGGAAAGAGGGAAATTATTACAGTGTGGTCTCACATTGCTCTTGCTGGACTTTGCTGGTGTATTTGGTTTTTGTAGTTGTATTTTCTTGCAGTTTTTAACCAATGCCTCTGGATTTACTGCCAGGACCATCTCCTGTAGACAACATCTGCCTATGTAGCTCTACGGGGTGGAACGGGATTTTCTTTATATGTCAATAAACCCAAGGCTGTAAAGCACCCCTAAATGTAAATACCAATTAACTATCTAGAGTATTGTCAAACCTTGGAAGGCCTTATTGCACCCCATTTTCACCATCTATTTTCTTTCATTCTTGTCTATTCACTACTTTCTTCCAGACTTTGCTTCCTCTGTCTCTTCTCCACAACCTCCTCTATCATTTGTTCTGCCCCTGGGACTTTTACCCTTTTGAGGAGACACAAAACCATTTATTTCCTATAAAACCCTTCAATTTTTCTAGCACTGAACCCTCCTTCATCTTATTCCTTTGAAGTCTCAGGGCTTAACCGCATGTGCTCCTCCTCTGAGGCTTTAGGAAGCGATGCTGTGCCAGTCACACGCTTTGCTCTTATCTGCAGAATGGTTTTTGTTGATACCTTTCTGGACTCTGCTGAAAGACAGGGTCCAACCTTCTCAAGGAGCTTTGTGCAGTCGTCCTGCAGCTCTCATCACCTACTGTGCCCCTTTTAATCACATAATTCAGGAACAGAAGCTCGTCGTAATCTCATGTTGAAGTGCAACATCAGGGTGCATCTCCCAGGCAGTGCATGGCCCGGCAGAGCCTCAGCAGATGGTTCTTTGTTGATAGAAAGCAATTATAGTCCTGTAGCAGCACAAACAACTGGAATTACTACTCACAAACTAGGCATTACCCAGAAACTGGGCTGGAACCTAAACATAGCCCTGATTTTGTGATGCTTGACTGCACTTTAATCCAACAAAAGCAACCGGGCCATTTGGAAGGGAGAAGAGAGGAAAAGCCTCTTAAAAATGGTTTCCAAAAAACCTCAGAGACTTGTTCCTAAAAGGGCGAGACAAAACATGATGACAGATCTCCATTCATTGTTTTCAGTCTGCCCAGAGTATAATTAAGTAGATGTTTTTATCTTGTTGGTCAGAAAAAAACATCAGTGGTCTTACTGTGTAATGTGTGTGGAAAGATAACCAAGGCAAGCTGCTGTCCCACGGGGAGAAGTACAGTGTGCTGCAGATCAGTCTGTCCTGTTTTACTTCTTTTGGTCTGTTATTTGCAATATGGCAATTCTGGGAAGGAAAGCTAACAGCTCTGAACAGAGCCAGGTGCATCACAAGGCCAATGTGTTACCCTCTTCATCTTTGTTATTTCACCTCCTCTTGCCACACAGCTCCAGCAGCTCTTTCACTGATTAATCCTTTAGTTTGTGTCTACTGCATAAATTAGATGACTCCTGTGATTCCTATTTGACTTAGATACTAGGACAGCTGGCTATGGGACAACTGATTCAGCCCTGCCCTGCATCACAAGAAGGCATCTCACCATGCTTGACTGAGGAATGAGCATCTATCACAGGCTAAGACTAACCACCAACACTGTTCCTCACCCACGCCATGGCAGCTTGGCCACCCAACAAAAGGGATTGCTTTCCACCAGCTCATGGTCTGGGGCAGGGGAAGAAGTGGGGATGTGGAGCCCCAGACGAGAGGGCAGCAAGCACACAGATCTGTGCTGTAAGCACACTTCCTGACCACCGCTCTGCACCCTCAGGCTTCGTGAATGTCTAAGATCTTGTAAGATATGGGGCTGTACAGTCTGAGGAATTTGTTACTTTCTGGCTAACACTTTGCTGTTGCTATTTGTGAAGCCCATTCATCAAATGCAGTGCATCAAGCATATAGGCTGAAGGTCCTTTGGTGGATGCTTAAAAGTTTTGCTGTACCTGCTGTATTTACCAAAGAGCCCTGGCAAAAAAAGGTAGCCACCAGTGCTGGAAGCAGAGGGAAGGGAGGGAGATTAAATGCTAGGGAGAGGTAAGGCAGGGCTGGGCAGAGCCCTGTCTCAAGGAGCAGGGGAGGAGAGAGCAGGCAGCATTTTCTGGCAGGCAGAAAGGCAGCATGTCATGTTTCATAAAGCCAGCTTGGTTAAAAAGTTGTGTAATAACTTCTAGCTTGTTTCTTTTGTGCTGGTGAGGGGAAAACCAAGCAATTAAGATTCACGCAGCCCCAAACTCCTCGGCAGCTTTCACTACCAAGGGCTCTCCATGCTGTAGCTGGGCTTTCCTTGTCCCGTGTCACTGGGTGTTTGATTTGACCTCTCTATCTCTCTGTACCTCATCCCCATCGCCTGCCCTGTCCCTTCCTTTGTAATGCTGGCTGCTTCTCCCAGCCCAGCCAGGCACCTCAGAGCAGAAAGGAGTACGGTCCCCTCTGTACCCCTGCTGTGTCCCCCCTTGGATATGGAGTCCTTCCTCCCGCCACAAGGTCTGTCCATGAGCCTCTGTTTGCCCACTGCTCCCCAGTTGCAGCTGGACATTTTCCCTCGGTAGGAGGGGAGGGGAAAACTAATTTATAGCTGCAGTGGAGCAAGGTAGGAAATTCCAGTCCTCTGTAAGCTCAACCACAAAAATATTTCCATCAGTAAAAGCATTTAATGACCTTTTCTATAACATCAGGGTTTTTTTTGTAAGAATCTGAACCAAACTTCATTCCTTGTTTTCACTTACTGTCTTGACTAGAAGGAACCATTCTTAACTCATGATTAAGTAGATGAAGGGTCTTTGTGTTGGTCCTTGGCATGACCCACATGTCCTGTGTCACCTGCTCCCTGTCCCTCTGCTCCGGCTGGGCACAGTGTGCAGCCTGGACAGAGACAGAAGTTGATTTTGGGGTTTTTTACTTTGTGGGCTTGAGCTGGTGAAACCAGGTTATTTTTTTTCAATGATTTTTTTCAATCCTTGGGAACAGGCAGGGAAAAAAAAGCAAAAGCAAAAAAGCAAATTTGACTTCTGCATGCCACTAGAATAAAGCGTATGTAAGTGTGAAAAGAGGCTTGCATGCACACTGAAGTATTTTTAGAGTAGCAATGAGACTGCTGTGCTGGCAAGAGCAGTGCCTTCATCTACTGCAGGCACCGGCCTTAAGAGCACTAACGTACCTCTGCAGAGCGCTAACACCTGCATGGTGAATGCTCACTAAGCCCCTATCCACAGCTCTTACTAGTGACATGGTCACTGCACACACTAACAACAAATTAGCAATAACAATAATATGACTTAACCATATCATACTACTGTCACCTGTAGCTTTATCCTGCTGGTTTCTAAACTGTTGTACATGTGCACCATGGTGTGATGGAGAGGTCAGAACGGGCTCAGGAAAGGGCATGAGCTAGTTTTAGGGAGCAGAGGCAATGCAGCTGCCCTGGGGCAGAGCTTGGATGCAGGTAGAATGTTACATGTGCCTTTTTAGTAGGGTTTTTTTATGAAAATCAATTCCCTTTCCAATTTGGAAATACAGTGCTCAGCTTCCATCTGTGGTGTTGTCCTTCGGCTGCACTTCCGTATAGAAAAGTAGATTTGCTGAACTTAAGTGCTGTAAATCCAACC